GCCGCGGCCGCGGCCGCCGAGGAGAACGAGGCTGCCGGAGAGCCCCAGGCGCCTCTGGAGCGGGTCCTGGGTCCTCTGGCGGGCGGCGACAGCGGCGAGGCGGTGTCCGGGGCGGTGGGGGGGGGCCGTTGTTTGCTGGCGGGGGGCGAGCCGCGGGACAGCTTCGTGCAGGCGGGGAGGGCCCATTACCCGGCCACGCTCTGCGGCCTGGTGTGGACGGCCAACTTCGTGGCCTACCGCTGCCGGACTTGTGGGATCTCGCCTTGCATGAGCCTCTGCGCCGAGTGCTTTCATCAGGGCGAGCACGCCGGACACGACTACAACATGTTCCGCAGCCAGGCAGGGGGGGCCTGCGACTGCGGCGACGGCAACGTAATGCGGGAAGCCGGGTGAGTATCGGCTTGTGGCGGCGCCGGCGCGAGTAGAAGCAGCCTGATGGCTAGCGAAAGGGAGGATCCCGAGGGCGCACCAGCAAGCGTGTGGGTTTAGGAGAGCCACGAATGACCCGCTCTCTCCTTTCCCTTTCTCCCAAGTGGTTTTGAAGGAAGTACACGTGCAAAAATAATCGTGCATGACGGGGCTGTGATCTGGGAGAACAGGTGGATGTAGCTCTGCATAGAAGTAGCCACCTAGCCTGAGGCATCGTATTAGTTCATTGGGGATACAGTAACTCAGCTTCATCGGGTCTGCATTTATGATCCGTCCTCATAGTTAACAAGACAATGTAGTTTTGTGGCCATTTGTAATATGTGTTGACTCGGATAACTCCCTTGAGTGCAGCACAACCTCTGTACTCTAAAGCATCATATGTACTGCTGTCTAAGTGCATATAGAATCTCTGATATATTGTGGCATAAACTTTTGTGGGTATGATGAAGCAGGTTTTGGTTCATAGAAGCCATAATAAGTTTGTTATTAACAAGCCACAAAACTTACATTTGTTACAAGCTGCACCTCTACAAGTTAAATTTATTTGTGAGGTTACAATCCTTACTTCAGCAAGAAGTCCTGAATTATTCTTAAAGGAGAAAATATCTATTCTTGGATGTGAAAGTTAGATATGGGTATTTCTGCCAGCCAATTCAAACTTGTGTTTTACATTAAGTTGGAAGAATAATAATGTTGCAGGACTCTATATAGTTAATCCTGTTAAGTTTGCTTCTTTCATCTTCCAGGCCAATATTTATTTTTATTCTATGATTTTCCTGATGTTAAAAACATTGGCTAAGCTCACAACACCATGCCAGTGGTTCAGTATAATATACAAAACCAGAAGATGAGGTTAATTGTAGGGATAAATATGTTATATGAATTCATTCAGTAGTTTTCCTCTTCCTAGCTATATGCCAGCAAGTTGTAGAAAGTTTCCATATAGCTTTCTGCATTTTCCCAAATATGCTTATGACAGTATTGCCCCATATCCTGTTAACACTGGTAGAGATTAATTATGGTCTTTAGCCCTTCCACATGACTTTTTATATTACTAGAGGGATATGTATAGTTGTCAACAAAAGGTCTATGTTAGGGCTTCTTTCTGATATTTGAAAAATAGGGAAATCCCACATACAAAATAATTCCTGTCCTCAATAGGAGAAATGGGGTACAGACTGTTGCACTGAAGACCTGTTTCTGATTTCTGTCCAGGTTGTATTCTGGGGCAAAATAATATCCAAACAAATTACCAAATCAAATTCCCTCTTCAACATGCTTTTATTTTGTTACAAAACAAAATGGTGTATGTGTGTATCATAGCTTTTGAAATGTATGTTGACTTCTGAACTTGAATACTAGTGATGGGAGAAAAAACTTTGAAACATGGTTCAACTAATATAACATAAAGAATAATAGAGAGCTAATGGGATAAGTTGAAGGGCCTTCTTTAATAAGGGATAGAAAATATAGACTAGCTGAAAGAATGGAGTAAACAGTTAAAATAGTGAGTTGGAGACAAGAGGAGTAGCTTGAGAGAAGAGCTGACTAACAAAATGATGCTGAGAACCGTAATGAAAGAGATGACACATGGGACACACCATTGTCTTTTTGAAAGTAAATAATGTACTCAAAAGTTTGGTAGAGCATTGGGTAAGAGCAGCTGCTGCTAGTGAAGCTGGCATAATGAGTAGATGTAAAGTTGCTATGAGGGCGTATTTTCAGTTCAGTACTTTTTTGGCAGGATGAGATGATTGAGTGCTGCCAAACTTTCCTGTCATAGAGAAAGCATGTGATAGAGTCATCCTATCCTCTGCCTCCATTTCAGTAGTTTGATACATGAACTCTGAAGTATGCCAGTATGTAAACAAGTCTCAAGTGTTGACTGCTCAGTGTGATAGACACTGCCCATTGTTATTAGTGTGAATGTGAGGAGAGAAAACAAAGACATCTGTGGGACCTAGTCATTTTTATTTTCATGAGCAAACACTTGCACTTGCCAATAGACAAGTTTATATTTAAAATATCATTACATCTTATAATTTAGTGGTAATATAGTAGTAACCTCACATATCATTATAAATCATAAAGTGGTTTGCATATAGTTTTGAATATTGTATGAACCCAGTCATTGAGATTGTAAACAATAGTTTATGATTATGTATTATGTGAATCCAGTTAATGTAACAGGGATGTTTCCTGCATTGTATGTCATTACCTGAATACAATATCTGAAGAATCCTGAATCTGAAGATATAGCATCATGATGAATGAGTAAATATTTTCTTCTGGAGTTTAGCACTTTGGAACAAACCAAGATTCCTAAGTGTTGGAAAATATTTTCTGTTTGGAAAAAGACTTGACACACAATTAATGAGCACACACACACACACATATTGCCATATTGCATTTTTTCTCATTCCCCATAGTACAAAACTCTTTTTTCAAAGTTTTGGTCAAAAAGCCAATGTGGAGTGAGCTAGTGGTCTATGTATGATTGGTAATGACATATACAGTGATAATAGTTATAGGTTTTTCTGTTCAGGGGAACTCTTTGAATGGAAGAGTATTGAATCAGGAAAATGAAAGTGGCAATGAAATTATCTTTATCTCTTTCAAGAAACAGACTTACTGCTCTTCTGATATTTATGAGAGTTAATGATTGTTGAATACAATTAACTGGGAATGTGTTCAGCAAGCTCTTTCTAATGGAACTTACCAGTTTTTTTTACATTTTGGAAATATAGCTGGTTATTCCACTCTACTGATTGGAAGCGCTCCTGAGTAAGCATGTAAATAATGAAGAGATGGTGTTGCAAAGATGAAGAACCAATCCTTTTCTTTTGTGGGGGATGGGGGTAATGGAGGGGATTAGAGGAAGATGACATATTTGAGTAATTATTTACATGAAAATAAGATTTTAGCGCATTCCAAAGATATTGCATACTAGTTTACAACTGAGATTATCCATACCAATAAGTTCTTTATTTGCTCTTTATATCTGGAATAAGAACATACACGAAACATAAAATAAGTTTTATTTCAAACTCAAAACATTGCATTCCAAAAGTTCTGCTTGCCTGAAACAAAACCCTGGAATGTTTTGATTGTTCTGGATTTGACCAAAACAACACCTGAAACAATTTCAGACATTTTGGCAATGTGAAAGAGTGGAATTCAGAACAAGCCTCTTGAGTTGCAAAATTTGGATTACCATTAAAGGGCAGTAAAGAAATGCAGTAAACTCAACTCTTTGCTGTCAACTAGTAGTTGTGCAGAGTTTTGCAGCCTAAATATGGTAGTCTAAGCCCTAGCATTCCCTGAGCTTAGAGCAACATTTGCTCTGGAGATATAGGTATTTGAATTAAAAGAAATATGAGGTATGATAGTTGGCTCTGTATTTTTGATTTCTCTTACAAGACACACATTTTCAATCAATTATCTCCTCCAAGCCTGGAGGACATCCTGCCAGAAAATACTAAATTAATTCCAGCCATTCCATTAAAAATGTTTAAAAATAAACCTCTTTGAAATCTATGTTGTTTACTCTTATGCCTAACTTTGTAGACAGTCAAGAACATGGACTGTACCTAGCTGCTATTATTCACATCCTAAATGTAAATTACACTTACATGACAGTACTTAATAGCATTCAGAACAAATGAGTAATCATAAGTTCTGAGCACATCCTTACAAACTAATTCTTCTTTTTGTACTTCAGGTGCTAAAGGGACAGAAGAACTACAACAGGTAGTTCAAACCAACAAATTGAAATATACTTTTGCAGCAAAATTCATCCTGGGCTGCTTCAAAATGCACAAAAAGATGAACAGTTTGAACATATCCATCTAAGCTTAGCAGGACGAGTGGTAGAGAACTTTGCACTTTGAAGCCTCCATAAATAAAAGGGCACAGAGAATGTAATGCACAGAGTGTAAGAGGATGAATGAATAGTGCTAGAGTCAGAAACTTTGAAGAACCACTAATCATTGTTTCCATTTCAAAGTTAAAAATATAAAAAGAGTGAGTTAAACTAAAGCCATTAACATAGAACTTTTTAGGAAAAAAAAGAATGAAACTACATTGATGATGGCTTGCTGAATTTAGCTGTGCACATGCTTTTGTCCTGTTGATTTTGGAGCATTCAGAGTGCCTTTGATGATGAAGACACACACTGCATATATATATGCATCCTGAATTTTAGCCTCAACAGGAATCAAAAACATGCACAGAGTACAGTCATACTACTCACATACCTAAGCAGCAAACCAACATGTATTAATGCAACTGGTTGCATTAACATAAACTTAAAGAAATAGTGCATGTATATCAACATTTGTATCTGACGTTACTTCCATCATTCCATATGCTTTTATTTTTAAGGCCATGCAATTAACCACACATGTGAAGTCTAGCTTCCCTACAGGAATCTTCACAAAAAACAGTAGTGAACAATGAGATGTTGATTGGGGAAAAATACTCTTCTTCTGATCACTTTGTGTGAGATGGGCGGCTATATAAAATAAATAAATAAATAAATAAATAAATCTGTGCTATGTGGTCTACTGCTAGCAAGAGTATCACCTTCATGCTGTATATGTAACTGCTATTAGTTTGTGTGATCTCAGATAAAGTTCACCCTGTTTGACTCAGTTGGGTCAGAGACTGGGATCAGCAACTTTATTATTTGCCATCTTGAAGGTTGGTGGACCATGGCAATAGCATTAATGAAGGCTGAGCCCTTGAGAGAGTTGGTGGATGAATCTCACTGGAGTTCAGATGATGCAGGGACCTGATGAAACCATGTGGAGTTCCTTCTGGTGTGAGCCTTATTTAGTGATGTTTCTCAGGATCTGAAAGAGACAGCTAGCAGCATGCCGTGTGAAGTCTTCAGTGTGCATCTTTCAGATGGTGTGAGTTGTAGATTCGTCCTATGAACTTGATGAAGTGAGCGGAGTTC